GCCACTGTACTCCAACCTTGGCAACAGAGTGAGACTCTCTCTTGAAAAGAAAGAAAGAAAGTAAGAAAATGTTAGTTGCTTCTTTCTTTTCTTCTTCTCCTCCTCCCTCCCACCCCCATTCCTTCTTCCTCAGTCTCTCTCACACGCCTCCTTCATTTCTGACTCAGACCCTCCCTACCCAGTCCCTCCTCTCCCCATCTCTGGCATTCCCCACCCCAAGCCTCCTCCTCCTAGATCACCCAGTGCCACTGTGGTTAGAATCACCTCTTTGGGGCTCTAATAAGCAAACTCTAAAAAAATCACCCTTTGGGGGAAAAAGTCCAGGACTACGACTGTTCCAAAGTGTCCAAATTTATTACCTGGAGATGCCTTTAATCAGTTGCCTAAAATCCCTATTAGTGATAGTAGATCACCTCACTCACTGGGTAGAAGCTATTTCCTTTTCAAATGCGACTGCTAATAATGTGGTGAAGGCACTTATTGAAAATACTGTACCAAGGTTTGCACTAATAAAAAATATTGGTTCAGATAATGGAATCCATATCACTGCACATATCATTAAAAAACTATCCCAAGTACTAGACATGACATGTGAATACCATACTCCCTGGCACCCACCCTCATCGGGAAGAGTAAACAGAATGAATCAAACCCTACAAAGTCACTTTATCAAATTAGTCTTAGAGGCTTGGTTGCCGTGGACTAAATGCCTTCCTATTGCTGTGTTGAGAATTAGAACTGCCCCTTGGAAAGATGCTGATTTATCCCCTTAGGAAACTCTACATGGATTGCCTTATTTACATTCCACTGCTGACATTCCCACATTTGAAACAAAAGACCAGTTCCTCAAAAACGATATACTTGCTCTATCTTCCACTTTCTTTTAAAACTAAAGGCCTCCTAGCATAGGCGCCACCCCTGGAGCTCCCAGCACATCAGCATCAGCCGGAGATCACATTCTCATCAAAGGCTGGAAAGAGGAAAGCTCAAACCAACTTGGGAAGGACCCTACTTAGTGCTCCTAACCACTGAGCTGCAGTCCAAACAGCAAAAAAAGGATAGACTCATCATACCCGGGCCAAGAAGACATTACTACCTACAGAGTCATGGACCATCATTCCAGGGGAAAGTCCTACCAGATTAAAGCTAAAACAAAACAAAACAAAACAAAAAAAACACCTAACCCTCCCATACCTACTATATTATTTTATAGCCTTTCTTCACTGTGGCTAGCCAGCTTGTCATTCATGTAACGTAACTAGTTCAAGCCTACCTCAAATTATCGCTTTTGATGCTTGTCTTGTTATGCCCCGTGGAGATCTCCAAAACCAAAGAAAGCTAGCCCCTTCCGAAAAGTACCTCTGCCCCTCTAAGATAAACAAGACTGCCTGTAATAGTGACACTTGTACCAGCAAAGCACAAAGCAGTCAGTGGAAATTCTGTTATGGTTGGGGAGATGTAATCTGGACCACCAAGTAACAAGGCTGGACCTCCCCAGGAGGAAGCTGCATTGTCCCAAAACCTTACATCCACTTTACAGAGGAATAACTCCCTCCTATTGCCAACTTCAACAATGGTAATCCTTTGCAAATCTCTATCATTGTCCCCACCCCTACTGACAGTAACCCCACTCCAGGTGGCTTCTACAGCTTAGGAGCTGATGTGGGAGGGGTAGACCCAATAGGATCTTTTGAGATGCACTTCATTGTTCCTCCACCCGCTTCCCTCCCTTCTCCTTCAGTATCTTCTTTCAATCAAACTGTTACTCTCTCCAATTACAAAGCCATAGTAGACATTGCAGAAGTTAAAGTTTAAAACAAACTTTAGTAGTTTAGACAAGATACCAAGATGCAAATGCCTGGTTGGAATGGATTAAATATTCTGTTCCCACGATAACCAAAAGTGACGGTTACGCTTGTGTGGCAGGCAGGCCAGAGGCTCAAATAGTCCCTTTCCCACTTGGATGGTCTTCTGACCGACTGGGCATGAGCTGCATGGTAAGTCTCTTTCAAAACCCCACAGCCTGAAGCAGTAAGGTGTGCAAGACTCTCACTGCTATTCCCTGAAGTTAAAGGCTCTTTGGGTCAGCCCCTGAGAGTCATCCAGCTGCCAGCCTTGGATGTTAATTTTATCTGTGTCTCTCATGACAGGGGGAGAGGTTAACGTCTCGGAGATCTAAAAAGGTGTAGTGAAACCAAGCCTTTCAGGAGCTTACCAGTCAAGCTGCTGTTGTTCACACCCGAGCAGAGGTATGGTGATATTGCGGAAAGCTACTATTGAGTTATCTGCTAAGTAACTGGAGCGGCACTTTCGCTCTAGTCCAATTGGCCATCCCTATCACCCTGGCATTCCGCTAACACAGCAGGCAAGAATGTCAAAACTGGGTGAACAGAAGCGCTCCACCCGGATCTTTTGACCCTCACATTTATATAGATGCTATTGGAATCCCACTAGGAGTACCGGATAAATTTAAGACTCGAAATCAAATAGCTACAGGATTCAAATCTGCACGATTCTGGTGGTCAACTGTAAGTAAAAATGTAGATTGGATAAACTATAAACAGCCATTTGTCAATTACACTAGAGATGCTATGAAGGGGATAGCTGAACAATTAGGCCCCACCAGCCAAATAACCTGGAAAAATAGAATAGCCCTTGACATGATGTTAGCAGAAAAAGCTGCAGTCTGTGTCATGATTGGAATCCAATGCTGTACATTTGTCCCTAACAACACAGTCCCTGATGCAACAATTACCAAAGATTTACAAACCTCACCTTCTTATCAAATGAACTAGCCAAAAATTCCAGAATAAATGATCCCTTCACAAGTTTTATGGAAAGGTGATTCAGTAAATGGAAAGGGCTCATGTCCTCAATGTTAACTTTCTCACAATTGTCATAGGTGTACTTATTCTCATAGGATGCTGTATCATACCCTGTGCCCAAGGATTAATACAAAGATTTATGGAAACAGCTCTCACCAAAAACTCCCTCAATTACCCTTCTCCCTATTAATGAGCATTTTCTTTTAGAAGACCAAACAGAACAACAAAGTCAAGACATGTTAAAAAGGTTTAAAGAAGAGGAATTATAAAAATTAAAAGGGTTTAATCGACATATACAAAAAGAAGTTCGTCTTCAAAAGTTTGGCTTGCTTAGTTTCTTTATTCTTTGTTCTCTACTTTCAAGGCCAAACTTCCTTCTTCTTTGTGCCTCCCTTCCCCTGGTTCCAGTAAGCAACTTTCACTATGGCCCAAATCTGCAACCCACATCTGTTGCCGTTCTGTAAACTACCACTCCCGCGGTAAGGACTCTTCCTGTCTAAAACTACCCTTCCTACCATTGTAGCCCACGCCCCTGCACTCTTCAAATTAGCCAATCGGGTTTAGTTTAGATTGCGCAGTCCAACTCCAGCCAATGGAGACAGGACACAGTAACAGGGACAAACTGCAGTTAAGAATAAAAACCCCTGTTCTTCCTTTTTTTCTTGTGCTCTTGTGACCACCCCAGGTGCGAGCAGCAGCACCCTTCGGCAGAGGTAAATTTGCTTTGCTGAGAGATCTTTTGTTCCAGTGCTCATTTCCTTTGTGACTCCGAACTCTCATTTCCAACAGAAGAGGCAGTCTTCTCCGTGTTGGTCAGGCTGGTCTCGAACTCCTGACCTCAGGTGATCCGCCTGCCTCGGCCTCCCAAAGTGCTGGGATTACAGGTGTGAGCCACTGCGCCGGCCCAGCGTTGCTTTTCAATTTGCAATTACAAAACCGTGGGACGCCACTTGACGCTTCTCACCACCAATCCAACCACCCAGCTCCCAGTCTCGTCAGGAGGAAGAAGGTCCCATCATGCCACTAGGAAGCTCACACGGGCCAGAAGCCGAGACTCCCGAGAGCGGTGAGACTGGTGCGCTCTGACCGGGCGTCGGGGCTTTCCGGGCGTCGGGGCTTTCCGGGAGTCGGGCGGTGCGGCGGCCCCGCCCTCGTGCGCAGGCGCATAGCGGTGGCGGAGGGAGCAGATGCCGGCTGAGCAGTTTCCAGCCGGCTCCGCTGAGCCGCGGGACTGGCCGGCTGCGGGGAGCGCTAGACCCACCCAGAGACTTCGGCGTCCGCCTCCCGCGGTGCCCTCAGTAAGCCCGCGGTCCTCCCGGAGCAGCCTTGCGAGACTGGGGAGGACGAAGGAAAATAGACATTTTCCGGAAGGCGAAATATATATCCTCCCTCTGTGTCGGGGCTTGGAGCGGGCGGCGGTGGGCGCGGGGCAACGTCCCCGGGGAAACTGAGGCCCCAGCAGGTCCGGGCCGGGGCGGAGAGGAACGCGGGAGAGCGCGGGGCCCCCTGGGCTCTTTGTACCAAGCTCGACCGAGCCGCCCCTTCCCACCTACCGCTGTCAACCCGACCTCCCTAAATAGAGACTGGGCGCTGTCCCAGCGAGATCTCCCCAGGACCTTGTGTCCCCGCGGCTTCCTCGGGCTGGCTTTGGACGACGCTTTCGTTTTCCTGCTGCCTAGGATCCGCCGACATGAATCCCGTCTTGGTGGTCCACGGCGGAGCTGGCCCCGTCTCCGAGGATGTGAAGGAGAGATTGCGCCAGGGCATCGTCAGAGCCGCCACCGTGGGCTACTGCATCCTCCGGGAGGGCGGGAGCGCCGTGGACGCTGTGGAGGGAGCTGTGGTCACCCTGGAAGACAATCCCGAGTTCAACGCAGGTAAATGTGCCTTTCGGCTAGTAAATAATGTCAGTCCGGTCAAGCTCCTCCCTCATAATAAATAAAACCTATGTAAAGTGTCGGGGAATCCAATGAACTTTGGGGTGACACCACATATGTAAAAAAGAAACAGTATTTTATTTTTCACCTGTGATGAAAAGAGTCAAATGCTAGAATACTTGGAGAGATTTATTCTGAGCCAAATATGAGTGACCAATTGCCTGTGATACAGCTCTTGGGAAATCCTGAGAACTTGTGCCCAAGGTGGTTGGGCTACAGCTTGTTTTATACGATTTAGGGAGACAAAAGACGTCTATCAGTACATATAAGATGTACATTGGTTCCATCTGGAAAGGTGGGACTACTGGGCGGGAGGGTGGCTTCCAGGTCATAGGTAGATTCAAAGATTTTCTGATGACAATTGGTTTAAAGTTTTGTCTAAAGACCTAGAATCCATAGAAGGGAATGTCTGGATTATATAAGGACTCATGGCTGCAGAGGGAATTGATAGAAGGTTGTTGAGCACGGTGACTCAACACCTGTAATCCCAGGACTTTGGGAGGTCAAGGCAGGCAGATCACCTGAGGTCAGCATTTTGAGACCAGCCTGGCCAATAGGCAAAACCCCATCTCTACTAAAAATAAAATAAAAATTAGCCAGGTATTGAGGTGGGAGCCTGTAATCCCAGCTACTTGGGAGGCTGAGGCAGGAAAGTCACTTAAACCTGCGAGGCAGAGGTTGCAGTGAGCTGAGATCATGCCACTGTACTCCAGCCTGGGCATCAGAGCTAGACTCCATCTCAAAAAA